GCTGAAGGAGGAAGAAAGCCTAACCTCAACAGTTCCAACCCAATTCGGTTGGAAACCAAGAACAAAGGGGATTCCGGGGAGACCTCCCTGTATCCTGAGAACTTCTAGGTATCCTGAGAATCTTGAGTTTGCTCCAAGCTGGAGGCTGACCCTCTGGTGGCCCCACATGCCCCCACATGGTTTGCACTGGTCTGATCAGCCACAACCACAGAAGTCAGTTAACCAAGTAGATGCAGCTATAGAGGTAAAGCCCAGGTTTCTCCCCAACTTCTGTTTCCCCTCTCTCCTCTCTCTCTCTCTCTCTCTCTCTCTCTCTTTTGCCACCAATTGTTGTTGAACAGTCAAAAGGGTATTAGTGGTAGAAAATTTGCAGATCCATGCTGTAGCTCTGGAAAGAAAGTGGGGGACAATTAAGGGGAAGGAGAGCGGGAAGGGAAAGAGAAGAGAGGAGGAGAAGAGAAAAGAAGGGGAGGGGGAAGAGAAGAGAGAGAGAGAGAAGAAGAGAGAGAGAAGAGAAGAGAGAGAGAAGAAGAGAAGAGAAGAGAAGAGAAGAGAAGAGAAGAGAAGAGAACGAATGGCGTGGAGAAGAGAGAAGGAAGGAAGGAGAGAGAAAAGAAGAAGGAAGGGAGGGAGGGAAGGAAAGAAAGAGAAGAGAAGAGAAGGACTATGGGATGGCAACAAGCTTTTGCATGCAAAGAAATCACAACAAACAATAAGGGAATATTCAGATCACCTTATCACCTTTCAGTCCATGTTCTCCTGGATTTCCCATCAACCCCTGGTTTAAAAAAAGAGAAAGAATCGCATGTCACCTTCCTTCCAGAAGTCCTTCTCTGGACAGGAAAGGCAAGCAAAGAAACCTATAAGAGAACAGACTTCACTTAATCACGGGGAACGTTCAGCTCTAACCAGGTTTAACCCAAATTAAAGCTGGCAGACTGGATTTTTGGAAAGATGATCTTGGAATTTAGGTCATCCTGGTTAAAAGTAGACCCAAATTTCCCTTTCGATTCCTCTTCAGGTTATCACTCCTGCTACATATTTGGGGGCTCAACCGTTGAATCTGCTGAATTTCTCCTTCGGTCTCCTACTTCTCCAGAGCAGATCTGGAATCAACTAAGAAAAAGAACTTCTTTGACTCACCTTTAGTCCTTTTGGTCCCGGGAAGCCCATTTCTCCAAGAAAACCTACATCACCCTGGTGAAAGAGAGGAGGTTTAGATTAGGAAGATAGCCAGAAACACCTTCTGGTGCCTTCAAGAGCTACCTCTTCTCTCTTTTTTCCTAGGAGAAACTTGTTGGAGGTAGAAATCCTAGGAAGCTTATAGGTCAATGATGGCAAACCTTTACGGCACCAAGTGCCCAAACCAGAATGTGCGTGCATGTGAGCACTCCTGGTCTTCACGTGTGCCGGAGCACCAGAAACCCGAAGACCATTTGTTGCTGTTTTTTGGGCCATTTTCAGGCCGTAAACAGCCAGAAAATGGCCTGAAAATGGCCAAAAAATGGCCTGAAAACAGACTGGAAAATGGTCTGAAAACAGACTGGAAAACGGTACTGAAAGCAGCCCAAAAAATTGCCCAAAAAACAGCCCAAAAAAATGGCCCAGAAAATGGCCTGATTAAACTGCCTGAAAACCGCCTGAAAAACCGCCTGAAAATGGCCAAAAAATGGCCTGAAAACAGGCCAAAAAATGGCCTGAAAACAGACTGGAAAATGGTCTGAAAACAGACTGGAAAAGGGTACTGAAAGCAGCCCAAAAAATTGCCCCAAAAACAGCCCAAAAAATGGCCCAGAAAATGGCCTGATTAAACTGCCTGAAAACCGCCTGAAAAACAGCCTGAAAATGGCCAAAAAATGGCCTGAAAACAGACCAGAAAATGGCCTGAAAACAGCCTGAAAAATGGTCCTGAAAGCAGCCCAAAAAATGGCCCAAAAAACGGCCCAAAAAACAGCCCAGAAAATGGCCTGATAAACCGCCTGAAAACAGCCTGAAAATGCCCAAAAAATGGCCTGAAAACAGCCTGAAAAATGGTCCTGAAAGCAGCCCAAAAAACGGCCCAAAAAATGGCCCAAAAACAGCCCAAAAAATGGCCCGGAAAATGGCCTGATAAACTGCCTGAAAACAGCCTGAAAACTGCTTGAAAAATGGCCTGAAAACAGACTGGAAAATGGCCTGGAAAACAGCCAAAAAAATCGACCTGGTTTTTTTGGCCTTTTTCAGGCCATTTTTCAGGTGCTCCGGCACCCGTGAAGACCAGGAGAGCAGCTGGCGATGACGCACATGCCCACAGAGAGGGCTCCTCTGGCATGGGTGCCATAGGTTCACCATCCTGGTTATAGGTTGTCCCACGCTACAAAGCCCTTTTGTGGATCTACGTTGTATGAACAATGCTGCAAAGTTCCTTAATGCCGAAGCAATCTCTTGTTTTTTTACACACTCACGTACACAGAGGCAATCTCTTTCCTGTCTTTCTCATACAAGAAATCCACAGAGTCTGGAGCACAGTCTTCAGACTGCCTCCAAAGTAGAGATGAATGAACTCTTTGATGGGGACAACACATGGCTGAAGGTGCTGTGTGTGTACACTCAGTTGGGTCCTTCTGAAGAACAGATCCTTTCTTCATGAAACTTTTCACAGAGGTTTCTTTGGAAGAAAGAATTGGCTTCACGGAGCTGGCCGGAATAAATTTGCCGGAATAGAAACAAGCGGGCTCAGGTTACAGCACATGGTCGGATCAAACAATACTGAATGCCCCCATGGAAAGATGGAAGTTGAGCCACAGCCAGTGGGATACTCAGCTTCAAGGGGAGGAAACATGGGGAACTCAACCGCTGAGAGTATGGCAATGAAGGTCTAAATATTTTCCAGGAAGACATGGGGCCCACTCTGGAAACAGGGGGTGGGCTTTTGAGGATTCACAGGGGTTCAGGAGAACCTCTAGCTAAGATTCTGTGCAGTTCAGAGAACCCCCAAATCCCACTGCTGGCTGGCCCTGCCCACCCCGCCCCATTCTTCCCAGGAGCCCGTTTTGGATGCAGGCAAGTGCAGGGCGCGCATGGAGGCTCAGGGAGGGTGAAAAATGGGCCTTCCAGAAGTTCGGGAAGGCCGGAAACAGGCCCATTTCCGGCCTCCAGACGGCCTCCGGTGCCTGGGGAGGCTGTTTTAACCCCTCCCAGAGGCTCAAAGAAAGCCTCCGGAGCCCAGGGAGGGCCAAAATGCCCCCCCCCCGGCCATGGTGCAGACCAATTAGGCCACACCCACCCAGCAACCAGGCAGAGAACCCCTTGCTAAAATTTTTGAAGCCCACCCCTCTCTGGAAATATTCTGATTATCCATGCAAACTTGAGTGTGGAGCCTTCTTGGAACGGTTGAAAGGAACTGTGTTGTAGACTTGAGATAAGATGATGTGGTATCCCTCCCTCTGTGTTGAGAGAGGGCTGTTCAGTTTTGACATAGATGGCCTCTTTGACCCCTCTTTCAAACCAGCAATCCTCTCTGTCCAAAATATGAACTTCGTTGTCTTCAAAGGAGTGGCTGTTGTCTTTTAAATGCAGATGGACTGCTGAATCTGGTCCTGATTGGTTTGTTCTCCGATGTTGCGTCATGAGTTTATGAAGTGGTTGTTTTGTTTCCCCAATGTACAGATCTGCACACGGTTCACTGCACTGTACTGCATATACCAGTTTGCTGAATCTGTTCCTGATAGCTTTGTTGCAGGAACCAATCTGGGTTGGTCACCAGGACCAGAAGTTTTGTCTTCCGAGCTTTCGGACACGTGCCGGAGCCCATCTTCAGGGAACTTCTCTCTAGCCTTCATTCATGATGGGTTTGTTTTTTAGGGTTAGGTTTAGAATTAGAATCCCAGGCGAGGAGGAACCATTTCTGGAGGTAGGGGGAAATGGCCTGATCAGGCCTGATCCACGTAGATGACGTGTCTCTCTTAAAACCCAGTTAGTTAATGTTCAACTGTCCAAAAGGTTGTCTACAACTTGGATCCACCATGACAGGTTCATCAAAGGTAGGTTATAAATCTACAAATTGGTGATGGGCGAATCGGTAGCAGTGGCTGTGGGAGGCTCTGCCCACCCACCCGGACATCATCACATCCCATTTATCTATGTTTTTGACACTCTGCACATGCACGGAAGGCCCTACGCATGCGTGGAGATGGAGACCTTGCGCTCACATTTGCGAACTGGTAGCGAAGATAAGTGAATACCACTAGGGGTGGATTCTACTTACCTTTACTACCAGTTCACATCGCGCCCATGCTCGTGCTGTTCTGTGCTTGTGCAGAAGCTTCTGCACATGCACAGATCCACCTATGATGACGTCCGGGTCAGTAGGCGGAGCCTCCCGCCAGTTTTTCTACCGGTTCTTGCGAACCGGTCTGAACCAGAGGCAATCCACCCCTGAATTCCACCCCTGATACAAATGGACCACGAAGTCTTAGGAACACAAGGAGCCTGGAGGTTGTCGTTTACGAGAGCTCCAGTTCAAATCCAGCGTACAGCTGCGTCGCCCAGTTTGGGCCCAGAAGTGACTTTTTCTCCCCTTCCTCGGAGTTTTTCTCTCTGCTCCTTTATTGGAAAGCGATGCCGATGTGCAATTTGCGCTTTATCTTCACTTTCCTATCAAGAGATCCGCTTCCAGATAGCCTCCCTCCCCTTCTCCCCTGGGGGGTGGGGGGGGTGGGAAACACCCCGCAGCATTGTTTATACAACACCGGACCACACAACAGGATGCGTGTGTCTCTTGGTGTGTGTCTGTGTGTGTTTTCCAACTCACCAAGTGTCAGAAATGAAACGTTCAATCCCTGCCCGCAGGAAGGCTTTTACAAGAAGGCTACGGACTGAAATCCTAGCCCTGATTTGGGAGGGGAAGCAAAGGATTTTCAGCACCTCAAAGAGGAAATTGGGGGGGGCAATGGCGGTCAAATGGGGTGCAGCAACCCAGATACAGGGGAGTCAGACAGCCTTGTCTCTGTTTGCAAGAACTGGGCACCTGCCATGGCTAATCTTTTGATTCAGGAGAGGCCCGAGTGGCAAATTTTTGCTTATCGTCCTCCACCAGCTCCTCCTTAACCCCCAGCTGCTAAAGAAATGCATAGTAGCTTTATTGTTCTTTCGAAAGAGCTTGGGAGAGGGATAAAAAGGGATTGTCTGCTTTTTCGGTACTTACAAGAAGGCCGGGGACTCCAGGGGGACCAAGGACTCCTAGGTCTCCCTAAACAGAAAGAAAGAAAGAATGAAACACGGTTAGGTTTGTTGAGTCGAGGTTTGGGAAGAGAGTTTTGGCAAGGCTGGGGCCAGAGAGACCCCGCCACCGTCCCCGATTTGCTTAGGGGGGTCATGGAGCAGGAGCTCTTTTCCACCAGCAGAAATGCAGCGGCAGCAACAACAACAACAGGAGAGCTTTGCAAACCCCAGATGGCTCGCTCTGACCGTGCCAGCTAAGTGAAAAGGCTGAAGGGGGTTCCCCTCCTCCTCCACCAGGAAGGGGTAGGAAAGAAGGAGGAATTGCAGGAGGAGGAGGAGGAGGAGGAGGAGGAGGAGGAGGAGGAGGAGGAGGAGGAGGAGAAATTGCAGGAGGGGAGCGAGGAGGAGGAGGAGGAGGAAGAGTCATACAGAAGTGGAAGAAGCTTCTCAGTGACATTGAAAAACAGAAATCAAGACCCAAGGGAAGAAAAAAGGAGGAGGAGGAGGAGGAGGAGGAGGAGGAGGAGGAGGAGGAGGAGAGGGGGAGAGAGAGAGAAAGGGGGAGAGAGAGAATGAGAGAGAAGAGTGGGAGAGAGAAAGAAAGAATGAGAGAGAGAGTGGGGGAGAGAGAGAGAAAGAGGGGAAGACAGAAAGAGAATGAGAGAGAAAGGGGGGAGGAGGAGGAGGAGGAGGAGGAGGAGGAGGAGGAAATTGAAGAGGAGGAGGAAGAAGAAGAGGAAGAGGAAGAAGGAGAGGAGGAGGAGGAAATTGAAGAGGAGGAGGAAGAGGAAGAGGAGGAGGAAGAAGAAGACATTGAAGAGGAGGAGGAAGAAGAAGAAGAGGAGAAAAAAGAAATTGAAGAAGGAGGAGGAGGAGGAGGAGGAGGAAGAAGAAGAAGAAGAAGAAGAAGAAGAAGAAGAAGAAGAAGAAGAGGGAGGGAGAGAGAGAGAGAGAGAAAGAGAGATTGAGAGGGAGAGAGACAGGGAGGGAGAGAGAATGAGAGAGAGAGAGAAAGAAAGAGAAAAAGAGATTGAGAGAGAGGAAGAGAGAGCGAGACAGGGAGGGAGAGAGAGAAAGAGATTGAGAGGAAAAGAGAGAGAGAGAGAGGGAGGGAGGGAGAGACAGAGAGAGAGACAAATCAAAACTCACAGCAGCCCCCGAAGCCTGCGCTGCAGGGTTGCTAGTTGCTAAGAATGTGGCGCACGTTCCTGTTCTCTAGTTTATGAGGTATGAGCCTGCAGCTCGCGTTTGATGCGCAGGTAATACTATGCGGTATTGTCTGCCTCGAGCACCCAGCCGCTGTGAGAAAGCGGTGGCAATCACAGGGCTGCCTGCACGAGCGGCGACACTTTTGATCCTGCCCAGAGTTCATTTTGACTCACTCGCTCCGCCAGACAAGCCGAGGACCTCTAACCACTCTTCTTCCTACCTTCCAACCACACAGAACTGTTCAGACAACAAACTGCACCGTTTTGTTTTGTGTGGATAAATCCTAGACTTCTAGATATAAATACTGGGGGTTTCTCAATATTTTTTTTTTTTAAAAAAATAAGTGTTCCGACTCAAAAGCCCATCTTCATCGCCGTCCTTGAGCTGGCTTTTTCAAAAGGCCGCCACTGTGTCGATAAGAGCTTCAGGGTTTTATTTCAGGACACTCAAGTCAATAGGCATAAAACTCGCGTGCCCGCACACGCAATCAAAAAGGAGAGAGCACTGAAAATCAGCCAAGGGCAGGGGTGAAATCCAGCAGGTTCTGGAGAACCTGTAGCGGAAATTTTGAGCAGTTCAGCGAACCGGCAGCGGAAATTTTGAGCAGTTCAGAGAACCGGTAGCGGAAATTTTGAGTAGTACGGAGAACTGGCAAATACCACCTCTGGCTGGCCCCCGAGTGGGGTGGAAATGGAGATTTTGCAATATCCTTCCCCCAGAAGTGGGGCGGGAATGGGGATTTTGCAATATCCTTCCCCCAGGAGTGGGGCGGGAATGGGGATTTTGCAGTATCCTTCCCCCAGGAATGGGGGAGGGAATGGGGATTTTGCAGTATCCTTCCCCCAGGAGTGGGGAGGGAATGGGGATTTTGCAATATCCTTCCCCCAGGAGTGGGGAGGGAATGGGGATTTTGCAATATCCTTTCCCCAGGAGTGGGGAGAGAATGCGGATTTTTCAATATCCTTCCCCCAGGAGTGGGAAGGGAATGGAGATTTTGCAATATCCTTCCCCCAGGAGTGGGGAGGGAATGGAGATTTTGCAATATCCTTCCCCCAGGAGTGGGGAGGGAATGGGGATTTTGCAATATCCTTCCCCCAGGAGTGGGGAGGGAATGGGGATTTTGCAATATCCTTCCCCCAGGAGTGGGGAGGGAATGGAGATTTTGCAATGTCCTTCCCCCAGGAGTGGGGAGGGAATGGAGATTTTGCAGTATCCTTCCCCTGCCATGCCCACCAAGCCACGCCCACAGAACCGGTAGTAAAAAAAATTGGATTTCACCACTACCCAAAGGGTTGACATTTGTTCGGAGGACTGACCTGGTCTGGTAGAACGCAAGGGGTTACACATCTTGGGCTCCATTCCCAAATCTTGGAACAATATTGAGGTCCTGTAAAAGCGAAAAACACATTCGTCGTATGATTTGGGGTGTGTGAGAAACAGAACAAGGCTAGGCAATAAGCCCTGAGGAATCATTTAAGGCAATGTTTCTCAATTGAAGATGCTTGAAGATGCGTGGACTTCAACTCCCAGAATTCCCCAGGCAGTGCTAGTTGGGGAATTCTGGGAGTTGAAGTGCATGGAAGAAGAAGAAGAAGAAGAAGAAGAAGAAGAAGAAGAAGAAGAAGAAGAAGAAGAAGAAGAAGAAGAAGAAGAAGAAGAAGAAGAAGGAGAAGAGCAGGAGGGGGAGGGGGAGGAGAGGGGAGGAATAGATGGAAGAATGGCGGAAGAAAGGGGGAGGAGGAGGAGAAGGCGAAAGAGAAGGAGGAGGAAGAGGAGGAGATGTTACACTGTCCTAATCAAATGAGGAAAGGGAAAGGAAAGGAAAGGAAAGGAAAGGAAAGGAAAGGAAAGGAAAAGAAAGGCAAGGCAAGGCAAGGCAAAGGAAAGGAAAGGAAAGGAAAGGAAAAAGGAAAGGAAAGGAAAGGAAAGGAAAGGGAATTAAAACAAAAAGAGAAAGAAGAAAGCAGTGTCATTCCCCTCCTTACATCCAACCTATGAATCTCTTATGAAGTTCAACAAAATCCCACAAAGTTGCTGTCCCTTCACCCATTTTAGAGACTCTGGAATCGGGGCTGAAAAAGAGGAAGTGCCCTGGGTCTTTTCCCCTCCAGGTAAAATTTGAAACTGGATCTTTTCAGACCAAGAAACCATGCCAGATTGGGAATGGGGAGAGGAGTGGGGAGGAAATATGCTTAGATACACACACACACACACACACACACACACACACAATTGCATGTAAACACGTATTATGGTTAGTTACATAAAACAGACAGCTTTCAGCTGGAGAAACTGGCATCCGTGACTCTAGGGAACGGAGCCCATGAGCATAACTTCAGGAGCTCATATGGTTTTTGGGGGGGACAGATAGAAAAAGCTCCATCCATTAGAGAAAAGTTTGAACAACAAAGCTGTTCAAGAACTTCTGAAAATGCCTCCTTAAAAAGTCAATGTGTGTGTCTGCTTGCGTGAATGCAGCTTTACAGAAGCCAGATAACCAAATCCATGACAATAAAGACCTAATAATTATTTTGCTTTCTCCTTGTTCCCACCAGTTTCTGTTTTTACTTGACTATTAACCTCGATGGACACAATCCAAGGATGAGAAGGAGGGAATGACTTGGGACATGGAGATAATCTGCTAGGAGAAGTGAAAATAGGCAATGAGCTTGAAATGAAATATTTTGGCCCTGAATGGACTTGGGGAAAGCAAAGTCCATGGCAGTGGACTCCCTTGCCCTCAAACTGAGGAGACGTGGCCGACCTTCTGGGCCCACCCTCAAGAGAAGAGAGTTATGAGCTCAAAGTTGGAATCTTGCTTGCTAGGGCTGCTAACTCTGGATGTATGGATCAACGGATGGACGGATGGACGGATGGATGGACAGATGGATGGATGGATGGATGGATGGATGGATGGATGGACGGACGGATGGATTGATGATGGATGGATAGATGGATGGATGGATGGATGGATGGATGGATAGATGGATGGATGCATGGATGGATGGGTGGATGGATGGATGGATGGATGGATGGGGGGGATGGATGGTTGGAGAGATGGATAGATTGATGGATAGATCGATGATGGATGGGTAGGTGGGTGAATGGGTGGGTGAATGGGTGGAAGGATAGATGGTTGGGTGGGTGGAAGGAGATGGGTGGGTGGGTGGGTGGGTGGGTGGAAGGATAGATGGATTGATAGATGGATAGATGGATGGATGGATGGATGGATGGATGGATGGATGGATGGACGGATGGACAGATGGATGGATGAATGGATGGATGGATCGATGGATGGGTGGGTGGGTGGGTGGATGGATGGTTGGAGAGATGGATAGATGGCTGGAGAGATCGATGATGGATGGGTGGGTGAATGGGTGGAAGGATAGATGGCTGGGTGGGTGGATGTATGGAAGGATAGATGGCTGGGTGGGTGGATGTGTGGAAGGATGGATGGATGGATGGATGGATGGATAGATGGATGGATGGATGGATGAACACTTTGCCTCCTGCGATTGTGGGTGCTCCATCACTGGAGCTTCTCAAAAATCGACTGGACAACCATTTGATTAGGATGGTATAAATTCTCCTGCCTTGAGCAGGGTGTAGAACTAGAAGACCTCCAAGATCCCTTCCAGCCTTATATTCTTCTATTTCAAGAAAATTGAGATTCAGATCCATCAATGTTTCTATCCTGGAATTTGCTCCCTCGGGGACTGGACACTTTCTTCTTCACCCCTGCTGAAGGTCTCCTTTTCAAACAAGCTGGGACCTTCTGCTTTTAGTGGAAAGACCATGAAAAAAAAAAAACAAGGCAAAGCCATCTCAAGGGAAGAGTCCTCTCCACTGAAGGCTCAGGGTTTGCAGCCAATTGAGATTCTCCTGCTTTCTCAAAGAGATCTTTCAGAAAGTGACCTCAAGATCTGGGTTGGATTATTCCTTTTTAAAAATAAAAATAAAAATGAACCCAACATGTTTCAGGGGAAAATCTGATTTTTGGAAACCATGAAATTGGGAAAAGGCACAGAAACTCCAAGTCCTCTTGGTTGACTTACGATTACGTTCCCACGGAATGTTCTATATTTGAAACCAGGAGACCGTTTGACTCTCCCGTGAACAGATCCAGGTTTGTGGCCTCCGCGTCCTAATTATTAACTTCTGTGGTGGGTGGGTGGGTGGGAAAATGTCCATGGAAATTGGTAGGGGGGAAAAAACATCTATTCCGGAACAGGCCGTATCTCAAGAAGATCGCGTGGTTTTGAACGCTTTATGGAAATCCTTCAGCGGAACTGACTGCCTTCCAAAGCCTGTGTCAACCATATTCAGTCGTCCATATTCTTGGTCATTTTTATTTTCCAACGTAATTTTTCAACGTGAAAAATTCCAGGATTATCTATTAGTAGGAGCAACACCTATGGCCGTGATGGCGAACCTGTGGCGCGTGTGCCATAGGTGGCATGCGTAGCCATATCGGTGGGCACGCGAGCTTAGTTCTGGTGCGCATACATGCGCCGGCGAGCTGGGCCCACCAGAAGTAAGGAAACAGGCTGTTTCCTGTCTCCAGAAGGCCTCAGGGGATGGGGGTGGGGAAGGCCTGTTTTTCTCTCTCCCCAGGCTCCAGAGCCTTTCTAGGAGCTTGGGAAGGGCAAAAATGGCTTCCTTCTCCCCCCCCTGCCGGAGGCCCTCCGGAGGCCGGAAATGGCCCATTTGTCAATTTCCGTTGGGACCAGAAGTCCCGTTTTTTGTTCTCCCCAGGCTCCAGAGCCTTTCTAGGAGCCTGGGGGGGGCAAAAATGGCCTTCCCCACACACCCTGGAGGCCCTCCAAGGCCAGAAACAGCCCATTTGGCAACTTCCGGTGGGACCAGAAGGCCTGTTTTTTGCTCTCCCCAGCCTCCAGAGCCTTTCTAGGAGCCTGGGGAGGATGAAAATGGCCTTCCCCACACATCCCGGAGGCCCTCCAGAGGCTGGAAACAGACCGTTTGCCAATTTCCGGTGGGAAGGGGAAGGCCGTTTTCGCCCTACCCAGGCTCCTAGAAAGGCTCTGGAGGCTGGGGAAGAGCCAAAAACGGGCCTTCCGGTCCCACCAGAAGTTGGCAAACGGGCTATTTCCAGCCTCCGAAGGGCCTCAGGAGGGTGGGGAAGGCCGTTTTTGCCCTCCCCAAGCTCCTAGAAAGGCTCTGGAGCCTGGGGAGAGAGAAAAACAGGCCTACCGAGCCCACTGCGCCATCGCGTGCCAGCAGCAGGGGGGGCACGTGCATGCGCGGGGGCGGGACACATAGAATAATAGGTGTGGGCACACATGTGCATGATCCCCTTTCCCTCCCCCGCTTCTGGCACGCGATGGCAAAAAGGTTAGCCATCACTGACCTACGGGCTTCTAAGCTCAACAGCTGGAGACATCTGGGTGGCAAAACAGAGGCTTACTTCTGCATTACCATGCTTTCAAAGAGGAGACAACCAACCACTCAATTGAGCTCTTCCAATCCAACCAAATCTTGGGCTCCCATCTTTTGATCTTGGACCTCCATCTTTTGATCTCGAACCCCATCTTTTGCTCTTCTCCCTTTGGCCCAAACCTCTACTGACAGGGGACAAGCGTTGTTGTTTTTTTAAATTCACAAGGATTAGTGACACTACCATGAAGTGGCATCCAATAGAGCAGGGGTCGTCAATCTTAAACACTCAAAGAGCCATTTGGACCCGTTTCCCACAGAAAAGAAAACACCGGGAGCCACAAAACCCTTCCCGTGCCTGACTATTTCCTGAGCGGCCACAAAACTAATATATGTAGTTGAATTAAACGTTCTGTTTTCTTCTGAAACTTTTCTTTTCTTGGATTTATCCATGGTTGGCCTACCGGGGTTGAAAAGCTCAATAAATCGTGTGCCAGCGGGTGTCGCACATTGGCGATTGTGACGTATATTTTGAGCGACAGGGAATCACAGCAGAGGGATGAAAGAGCCACATGCGGCTCCAGAGCCACAGATTGCTGACCCGTGCAATAGAGTAACCTTTCCCTCTACTCAAAAATCCTCATTTTTTTTTTAAATAAAGAAAGCAATCCTTTTGTAAACCTTTTATATCTTTATAAAAGATGCATTTGGGGAAAAAAGAATGCCGTGTTTTTGAAAGTGGACGGGGGAAATAAAAGTGAACGTAGCCTGGGAGGGAAATGCATTTTTAAAAGCTCTTAGAAGAGCCAAGAACTCTATTAAAGAAATGTGTGCTAAAAGAGAAAGTGTATGGTGATATTTACATTAATATCTACACACATCTGGGCAGGAACGGGAAACTGGGGCCCCCAGAGATGGCTGATCTCCAAGCATCCATGAAAATGGACAATATCGGATAGGATTCCTAAGATATGTAGGTCAATCCTATCAGAAAACCACAGCCCTCTAGTTCCATGCATTAGGGAAACCTGGACTCTAAATCTTTTATAACAGACTAACAGTTGGAAGGAACCTTGGAGGTCTTCTAGTCTGACCCCCTGCTTAGGCAGGAAACGTTACAGCATTTCAGACAAATGGTTGTCCAATCTCTTCTTAAAAACTTGATATTTGGTATCAAAATGAACGATACACAGATGCCACGCTGTTCATATATATTAAAAAGTTCCAGTCTTGGAGCATTCACAACTTCTGGAGGCAAGTCATTCCACTGATTAGAATCGGAATCAGAATAGAACTGAAAGGGAGGTCGTAAGCAGCGGTGGTATAAATAGCAAATGCTGATCCTTTGCTATTTCCAGGCCAGCCCTGTGGGCCAGATCTAACCACCCCCACGGGCCGGATCCAGCCCGCAATGTCAACTCGCAAAGCATCCCTGGCCTGCTCCCGAGTTGCCATAGGCCAGGGGGGATGGGAAACCGGCGAAATGACACAGCAGCCAAAGACAGATGCACATTCCATGCTTCTCTCTCTCAAGGCTGTCTTCCAGGGTTACCTACAGCAGCCGGAGGGGAATGACCTCTACTGAAATTGTTCTGTTGGTGAATGTGATTGATGATACACCCTGGGGGGAGGGGGGGAAACAGGGTCATAATTGGAGCGTAAATTATGTAAGGTCAGAGCTGGCTTCACTTGGGAACATGCTGACATGAATCTCCTAATAAATAACTGGATTTCTTTTGAAGCTTGGCTCGAGGCTCATGATTTAATTAGGGCATCCGTCAGAACCCTAACATGTGGGCCTTGAATTTAACACTCCTGTCATAAACCGAGGAGTATCTGTGTAGCATAGTCATGCTCCTCAGGACTTCCTCTCAAAATAAAACCTCCCCAAAACAGAGCACAGGTGCCTGATTGCTCCATCCTGTCCACAAAGAGAGTACCGTGTTTCCCCAAAAGACGCTTTAGGGCTTATTTTCTGGTTAGGTCGTATTTTGGGGGAAATACGGTACTAAATGCACCCATCTGGATGACAATCTTAACTGGGGCTTATTTTGGGGGTAAGGCTTATATTACGAGCATCCTGAAAAATCATGCTAAGACTTATTTTCCGGTTGGGTCGTATTTTGGGGGAAATACGGTACCAAATGCCTCCGTCTGCTGACAATCTTAACTGGGGCTTATTTTTGGGGTAGGGCTTATATTACGAGCACCCTGAAAAATCATGCTAGGACTTATTTTCCGATTGGGTCTTATTTTGGGGAAAATACAGTACTAAATGCACCCATCTGGCTGATAATCTTAACTGGGGCTTATTTTGTGGGTACGGCTTATATTACGAGCATCCTGAAAAATCATACTACGACTTATTTTCCAGTTGGGTCTTATTTTTGCGGAAACAGGGTAGCAACGCATCTCATTTGCTACTCAAATATTTTGCACACTTTGCAAAAAAAAAAAAGAGGGGCTTAATTTCACAAGGGAACTTCAGACCACAGTAGAAACCAAGTGGCTGCTTGCAGGAGGCCAATCCCAAACCTACAAGAACGAAGTTCTACCAACTTACCGGGTTTCCATCAATACCTGGCGGTCCACGTTCCCCCATATCGCCTGGAAAACCCTGAGGGATGAAGGAAAGGAGGGGAAAAAAAAACACGTTTCCATTATTTTTTTGTTGCGACACAGGAGAAGAACAGAAGATGTTTCAGGAGACAAATGCATTGGGTTACAGGTTTTGGCACCTTTTGTCCATCACGAAAAGGACCAGAATCTGGATGAGTGAAGACCCATTTTCTTTGAAGGTGGTTTGCTGGTCTACCTACCCTAGCAATCCTTTCAAGGCAATTCGCACCCAGAATTGTAAACCAAATCGTTGCCCCCCCCCCAAAAATGGTTTATGAGAAAGGGATAATTTAGTGAGGTGAGGTGAGGACCATAGTCTCACTCTGCAATTCACTTGTGGCAATTATGAATTGTGGAGTTACGTGCACGCAAAGAATAGAATAGAATAGAATAGAATAGAATAGAATAGAATAGAATAGATAGAATAGAATAGAATAGAATAGCATAGCATAGCATAGCATAGCATAGAATAGCATAGAATAGAATAGAATAGAATAGAATAGAATAGAATAGAATAGAATAGAATAGAATAGAATAGAATAGAATAGAATAATGGAATGGAAGGGAAGGGAAGGGAAGGGAAGGGAGGGAAGGGAAGGGAAGGGAAGAGAAGAGAAGAGAAGAGAAGAGAAGAGAAGAGAAGAGAAGAGGAAGAGAAGAGAAGAGAAGAGAAGAGAAGAGAAGAACAGAGTTGGAGGGGACCTTGGAGGTCTTCTAGTCCAACCCCTGCTCAGGCAGGAAACCCAACACCACTTCAGACAAATGGTTATCCAACATCTTCTTAAAAACTTCCAGTGTTGGAGCGTTCACAACTTCTGGAGGCAAGTCGTTCCACTGGTTAATTGTTCTCACTGTCAGGAAATTTCTCCTTAGTTCTAGGTTGCTTCTCTCCTTGATTAGTTTCCACCCGTTGCTTCTTGTCCTGCCCTCAGGGCTTTGGAGAATAGCTTGACTCCCTCTTCTTTGGGGCAGCCCCTGAAATATTAGACTGCTATCAGGTCTCCCCTAGTCCTTCTTTTCATTAAACTAGACATACCCAGTTCCTGCAACCGTCCTTCATATGTTTTAGCCTCCAGTCCCCTTAATCATCTTTGTTGCTCTTCTCTGCACTCTTTCTAGAGTCTCCACATCTTTTTTACATTGTGGCCACCAAAACTATATGCGATATGTGATCTTACCAAGGCATTATGAAGACCTTGGTGAGGTCTTCTACGAGGACCTCGGAGGTCTTCTAGTTGCTCTTCTCTGCACTCCTTCTAGAGTCTCCATATCTTTTTTTTTACATCGTGGTGACCAAAACTGGATGCAGGATTCCAAGTGTGGCCTTACCAAGGCATTATAAAGTGGTATTAACACTTCACGTGATCTTGATTCTATCCCTCTGTTTATGTAGCCTAGAACTGTGTTGGGCAGCCTAGAACAAAGTTTCTCCAATGCTACAGTGAGGAACCCAAGTTTCTTTTGTGCATCTCCTGTGCATAATTCCTGGTTCCCCCCAGCCATTTCCTACATGGCCTGAACCTGCCTACTTGCATGTCCATCAAACTGGAAGAAGGAAAGAAGAAAGGCGTCCAAGTCAGATAGTAATGCCTGCCTAGGTGGCTCAGTGGCTAAGACGCTTGAGCTTGTCGATCAGAAAAGTCGGCAGTTCGGCGGTTCGAATCCCTAGTACACTGGCGGGGGGGTTGGACTAGATGACCTCCAAAATCCCTTCCAACTCCGTTACTGTTACTGACTTCGTGCCTTTTTCTACACGCAAAAGACCAGGAGCCACGCACACACACACGCTTTTGTGCAAAGATTTCACCGACAAGCAATTCCAAGCTTCCGAAAGGATTTTTTGACTGACGTGTTGCCAAAGAGGAAGATCAACCACAAAGATTAGCATTTGGGCACTTTGCCCAGAGTTTGTCAAATTTCTATAGAATCAAAGGCAGCATTCAGATGAATGGTGAGGGAAGTATTTTTATTTTATTTTATTTTTTTAAACCAGGCAGGCCAGCGTGAATGCATTCTCCATTGTCCAAAGGGAAAGAAAAATTTACATCTGGCCTCTTTCTTAAACTTGGTATCGTTTACCCACACACACACACACACACACACACACACACACAAAAAACAGTCTGTGCCACGGATATGTGGTGGATCGTATTATCAGCTGTGTCAATCAAGCTGTTAGGTCACCAAGCATGGAATGGATCCAGGGGTGGGCTGCTGGCGGTTCGGGAAAGCCTCTAGCTAAGATTCTGTGCAGTTCGGAGAACCCCCAAATCCCACGCCTGGCTGGCCCCGCCCACCCTGCCCCGCCCCTCCCAGGAGTCCCCACCTGGCCAGTTTTGGATGCAGGTAAGTTCAGGGTGCATGCGGAGCCTCGGGGAGAAAAACGGGCCTATCAGAAGTTCGGGAAGGCAGGAAACGGGGCTTTTTTCTGGCCTCCAGAGGGCCTCCGGAGCCTTTCTGGAGGCTCGAGAAAAGCCTCCGAAGCCTGGGGAGGGCAAAAATGCTGCTCTCCCCAGCCGTAGTGCAGGAGGTAGACTAGGCCACGCCCACCATGGCCACGCCCACCCAGCAACCGGACAGAGAACCCTTGATAAAATCTTTGAAGCCCACCCCTGAATGGGTCTATCATCTCCCTTAAGAAGCAGGAGTAACACACGCTCCCCACGAGATGCGATCGATCGTTGGAATCCATGCTGCTTTCTAAAAATCCAGATAGGATCCCAGCTTCACTGCAGTCCTGGGGGGGGGGGCAATGAAACATTCCAGCTAGATGGGATCAGCAGGAACTTCCAGCAAAAATCTACTGAGTTGTACTGTGAGTCATTTTGATGAACTATCTCATCAAAGTGATTTTTCCCTGGCACTGATTGTTCAGATACATTTTTAGATTAGAGGGAAGGCAGGAAGTCAGCTACAATACAGGAGCTGTTGAAATTCAACACTTTGGATGCTGGAAAGCTATCAGGAACTCTCCTTTCCAGGCGCTTAACTAGTTAAATCGTTTAGCTTTAAATGAGGCTCTTCCGAGCCCAAAATTCTTCTGCAATGGTCAGGAGAACCTGTTTTAAGCACACCATCCTGGGTTCTAAACTCAAACGTCCATGGAGGTTCTCAGTCCTCCAGGTCATAGTTGTCCCAAAGGTGATTTTTTTCAAGAGGCAACTGGACTTTCTGGATTGTCTTGAAGATGTCTCGCTTCTCATCCAAGAAGCTTCTTCAGTTCTGGTGGAGGATGGAAGTCAGTCAGAACTGAAGAAGCTTCTTGGATGAGAAACAAAACGTCTTCAAGGAAAAAATGAAGTCCAGTTGCCTCTTGAAAAAGCACCTTCGGGACTGAATATCTATAGAGATTCTCAGCCATCCAGGTCATGATTGTCCCAAAGGTGCTTTTATCAGGAGGCAACGGGACTTCCTTGTTTTTGTTCGAAGATGTTTCGCTTCTCATCCAAAAAGCTTCTTCTGCTCTTCTTCTTCAGAGCCGAAGAAGCTTCTTGGATGGGAAGTGAAACGTCTTCAAAGAAAAACAAGGAAGTTCAGTTGCCTCTTGAAAAAGCACCTTTGGGATTTAAACTCACATCCTTAATGACGACTGCCTTTACTTCCAATGTGACTTGGTCTCTCGCCCGCTAAACAGAACATCGTAATTTCCCCAGCTGAAGATGGCTTCTGACTATCAAGACATTGATACGGTCCCTTTTTCTTTTTTTCCCTCCAGCTACTCTGCAGAAGATCTAAAGATGAGAATCCACATTCACGTCAACTGCCCCACAAACGATCTCATCAGATCCTTGGCAGTTCCTTGAACGAGCTAGCCTTCCAATTCTGCTTGTTGGCGGGATATAAGATCAAGACTCATTTCTCCTATTTCCCAGAGATTCCCTGGTTCACCTGATATTTTCAGCCTTTATTTCCTACTCCAGGACGCAGACCCTAATATAACTCTAAAGGTGGGAAAAACTTTTGCTGCAGTCGTGGCTGGGAAAAAACGGGAAAAGAGACGGGTAAGCCTGACAGCAGAGGATCACTAGTATCGACAGTACAGATCGTATTTTTTTTTTTTAATTTGATTTATATGCCGCCCTTCTCCGGAGACTCAGGGCGGCTTACAATGCGCTAAGCAATAGCCTTCATCCTTTTGTATATTTATACGAAGTCAGCTTATTGCCCCCACAAACTGGGTCCTCATTTACCTACCTTTGAAAGGATGGAAGGCTGAGTCAACCTTGAGCCTTGGCGAGATTCGAACCAGCAGTAATTGCAGGCAGCTGTGTTAATAACAGGGTGCTTAGACCACTGTACTATCAAGGCTCTTTGAGACAGTAGATGGTGTACTGTCCCATGATCTATCCATATTTGTAAAATATGCTCCCTTTCTTTGTCTATTTTAATTTGGTCTCTGACCGCAATAAAAGCTTACTTACTTACTTGTTGGTTTTTTAACCTTGTGCCTGAAGACAAGGAATAGGATAGACCAAAAGTTGGAGCCTCCACACTACGACTGGGTTTCAGTAGAAATGGTGATGGATTTTAGGAGAAACCCTTCCATACTACCACCTCTTACAATACTAGACACCACAGTATCAACAGTAGAGTCCTTCAAGTTTCTAGGTTCTATCATATCTCAAGACTTAAAATGGACACCTCACATCAAAAACGTCATTGAAAAAGCACAACAAATAATGTTCTTTCTGCGCCAACTCAGGAAGCTCAAACTGCCCAAGGAGCTGCTGATCCAATTCGACAGAGGAATGATTGAGTCTGTCATCTGCACCTCTATAACTGTCTGGTTTGGCTCTCTGCAACCAACAAGACAGACAGAGACTTCAGAGGAGAATTAGAACTGCAGAAAAAACAATGGCTACCAACCTGCCTTCCATGGAGGACCTGTATACTACATGAGTCAAAAAGAGGGCTGGGAAAATATCTACAGACCCCTCGCATCCTGGACATAAACTGTTTCAACTCCTACCCTCAAAACGACGCTATAGGGCACTGCAC